GTGTCTGTGTGTGGGCTGGCTGTGTAGGAGGGCTTGGCTTAGATTGCAAAGTAGAAGGAGGGGCCGACCTGGTCTTCAGCCTGCTTAGAACAGGAGGTGGCGGAGGAGGACATGAGTTTATTTTTGACCTTGTGACTTGGGGAGCAGGCCTTGGTGGAGGGTGAGGCTGGAGATGACGTTTGGGATGGTCTCGGTGACTTCAACAGTTCACATCATTGGCCTCTGCTGCAGTGTGATAATGGGGTCACTGTCACTGCCCCATGTGTCTCGGTTACTTAGAACAGGTCACAGAGATCAGATTTCCCTCCTTTCTTCCTTTCTGCTTCCTAAAGACTTGTGATTTTAAGTGTGTATGTGTGTGTGTGTGTGTGTGTGAGAGAGAGAGAGAGAGAGAGAGACAGAGACAGAGACAGAGACAGAGACAGAGTGCGGGTACCCAGGTGCCCTTGGATCCCCTGGAGCTGGAGTTACAGGAGATTGTGAGCCCCCCATCTGAGAGAGAGAGAGAGAGAGAGAGAGAGAGAGAGAGAGAGAGAGAGAGATAGAGAGAAAGAGTATGGGTACCCAGGTGCCCTTGGTTCCCCTTGGAGCCCTTGGAGCAGGAGTTACAGGAGATTGTGAGCCCCCCATCTGAAAGCAGTGCGTACTCTCAACCTCTGTACCATCTCCAGGCCCACAGCCCTTCCTCCTGCCTTTCCTTTTCTTTCTCTTTCCCTCCCAATCTGACCCTCTTCCTCGGCTTGTTAAGTAGGTGTTTGCTCAGTATTTGGCTCATTAACATAAGTAGCCGGTGCCCTTTTAATCCTCAAAAGCAAGGTCAGTGCCCTGAGTTCCCTTGGGCTTTAGCCACATGACCGTGGATCTCCCTTGCTGAAGTCCTTCAGGAGTCCTGAGGGAGGACAGGGTAGGCAACTGTCGCACCTCCTCTGGCTTCTGGGGAGCTCTGGGGAGAGATGAGCAGCATCAGGTAAACCAGCACCGGCTGCCAGGCTCGGCAGGCACGTTGTATTCTTAGGAAGCAACATGCCCCCTTCACCTCTGCCAGAGTCCTGTGAGGAGATCCTGTTCTTGTTTGGCAGAGGGATTTCAAGGCTTAGTGAGCTTAGAGTGTGTCAAAGTCCCGGTTACTGACTAACAAGGCCACAAACCCAGGTCTGTGGCAAAGTCAAGGCACACCTCAATCAGAATTCAGAAGTAGCAGAAGCTACCATGTCCAACCCCTCTGCTGTTTCTCAAACCTCCCTGTCCCTGGGGGTCTCTTTGACCTAGAGGGATGTGGGAAATTCCTGTGAGTTTTCCGTGACACTGGAGGATGAGCTGTGACACCAGTGCCATACAGTCACCAGAAGGTCACCAGGAGATATTGCCTTAGACTTGCCAATGTGAAATTAGCTACTTGAGGGATCCCAGAGGTCAGTAGGACAGGCAGCTGAGGGACCCAAGCTCACTGACTCTCATGGGTTGGGATTTCTGGATAGATTGGAAAGCCATCAAGTCCATACTGAAGATGTAGACGTAGGAAGTACCCTAATTTGATGTCTCATCCAGAGCCTGATAATTTGTATAATTCCACATAAAATTATCACAGAGCACCCCTTGCTGAGACTATGTGCAGGCAGTCATTATGGCTGGTCCCCAGTTCTAGGCAGAGGACTTACTCAGATGAAACTGGCCCAGGCATGGTGGTGCATGCTTGTAATCCCAGCTCTCAAGAGGCTGAGACAGGAGGATTGCTGTGAATTCAAGACCTGCCTGAACTACATGGCCGTAAAAAAGGAGGAGGGAGAGGAGAAGGAATTGCTTTAAAAAAAAAAGTCCTAGACAAAGCTAGGCTCTGGGCTCCTGTCTGCCTGCATTGCCATACTAAGTATGCCTGGCCTTAGCCAAAGGACAGGGAGGGGATTTGTGGGTTTTTTTTTAGGGGGGTCTTTTTGGACATGGTCTCAAGCAACCCATCTGTCCTACAACTCCCCATGTAATGAGGATGGCCCTGAACCTCTGGTGCTCTCACCTCCACTTCCTGAGTTGGGGGCTACAGGTGTGTGCTGCCACACCTGATTTTATGTAGTGCTTGGAATGGAGCCCACGGCTCCACTGGCATCTTCTCACTTCCAAAACAGGAGCACCGCACAGAGTGCGCACCCTAGACCGAAAACCTGGGGTCCAAAATCGGCAGTGTTTTGAGCACCCATGTGAGGTTTCAAGCAGAACATTTCACACCTGACCTTCTGGAATGGGTCACAGTCACCAGGCAGGTACCCTAAGATTACTGAGCCCAATGACACTGAGACTATTTGTAGGACATACATATGAAACAAATTAATTTTCTGCTTTGACTTTGCTCCTGTTCTCAAAATATTTCAACATCTGCATATAAATATTCCAAAATAAAATTCCAAAATTAAAAAAAATGGGCTGGGGATATTGCTTGATCATTAAAGTAGTTGCCTTATAAGTATAAAGACCTGAGTTGGACCCCCAGGACCCATGGAAAAAGTCAGGCCCAATGGTGTATGCTTGTAATCCCAGCATAGGGAGGTGGAGTCAGGCTCCTGGGACTCACTGGAGTTCCAGAAAAAGACCTTATGACCACACAAACTAACAAGGGGCTGGAGAGATGGTTCAGCAGTTAGAGCGTGTCTTAGTCAGGGTTTCTACTGCTGTGATGAAACACCATCACCATAAAGCAAGTCAGAGAGGAAAGCATTTTTTCAACTCCCACTTCCACACTGCTGCTCCCCACTGAAGGAAGTCAGGACAGGGCCAGACCCTGGAGGCAGGCGCGGATGCAGAGACCTCAAGGGATGCTGCTTACTGGCTTGCTTCCCTCGGCTTGCTCAGCCTGCTTTCTTACAGAGCCCAGGACCACCAGCTCAGGGATGGCACCATCGCCCCATTGATCACTAAATGAGAAAATGCCTTTCATGGCAGCATCTCAACTGAGGGTCCTTCCTCTGATGACTCTAACTTATGTCAAGTTGACACAAAAACGGCCAGTACAGAGCACTTGATGCTCTTCCAGAGGACCTGGCTTCCAATCCTAGGACCCACTTGGCCACTCACAACCATCCAGAACTCCAGTTCCACTCTGTATCAGGACCCATCTCCTGACACAGCACTGACCTTTGCCAGTGAGTTCCCCACCAAATTCTCCTCCTGGATGTCAAGGTCCAGCCTGTGATTTGGAAGCCTGCTCTGGAGGTAGGGTGACTAAGGAAAGAGCCTTGTGTCCCATGGGGCCATCTGTCTAGTGACTCATTCCTGGGTCTCTTGTGTTTCCAAACACCTTGCCTCACTCTCCCTAGACTTCTCCCCGTCCTGTCTGGCCAGTTCCTCCAAGGTTCCTTTGCAGCTTTGCCTGGTGTCCTCTGGAGCGTGTGCACAGCACCTCTGGGAGCAGGGCCCAAGTGTAAACTGACACCTCTTCCCAGGAGAGACTGGGAGGCTCTTCTCCACTGGGGAATTTGTGAGGCAAAACACTTGCTGGTCTATGCCAGCAGGGCCTAGGACCTGGTCACCCATTCACAAGAATTCTTGTGCCACTGGGAGCCCTGCACACCTGGTTCCTTCTGTGCTCCTCAAACGAGACAGAGGAAGAAAGGGAGGCTAGCAGCACCCCCAAGGGCTCATGTATCCTTCTGGCCCACTCTAGTCCTGCTCCTGCCCACCCCTCTCCCCTGTGCTGTTGTTGAACCCAGAGCATCTGCACCCAAAGGCGCCTGCTGTGACCATGATCCACCTCCCTGTCTTCCCTCAGCACCAGACCCTCACTCAGTCTTGTCCTTCCAGGCACAGAGGTCCAAACAGATAACATGCGGAGCTCTTGCTAGGCTCCCACTGAGTCATTCAGTGGGAGAGACAGGAGCCTAGGAGCAAACACAGGCTGCAACAGAGGCCAGGGTAGGCCTCACTCACCTCAGCTGGTGCAGCCAGGAACCTGAAGATGCCCCCTCAGGCCTGGCACTACAGATGAATGTCCCCATAGGAAGTGATTGCCAAGTGATGGGCAATTGAGGACACAGTTCTGTCTCAGGCTGAAAGCCCAGCTTCGGTCCCTGTCCAGGGCTCTATCTCAGTCAGGAGTGGGGCTGAAGTGTGGGTGCCCCTGCTCTGGGACCCAAGGGAACTGGCTGCCCAGCCTCTCTCAATGGCATTTCCCACTTTTCCATCACAGATAGACTTGGGGGTGTCCACTCCTGCAAACTCCAAAGCATGGGTTAGCCTTCTTCATCGCCTTGTTTCTGTCTGAAGTTTCTGAGTGGCAGACAGCTGTGTTACAAGCGTGGTGAGTTCACTCTGCCTTGAGGGCAGGCCTGGGTCCCAGCTCTGTGCTGGGAACAGGGACCAGGCTTCCCCAAGCACACTCTTCCATTGTGTGAGGCCTTCCCCTCAGCACCGCCCACTGCCCTCTTCTTTTTGAAGTCCACAGTCGGGGTTTCCCAACTTGGAGCTATTTAGACAGCCATGAGAATGAGACCCTGGCATGACAGCCTTGAAAGGATGCCTGTCCCCAAGGGAGGAGTACTGGCTGGGTGGCCTCACAGCCTGCCTTCCGATCCTCAGGACCAGTGCCAGGTGGCTTTGACACTCAGCCTAGAGGGACTCATGGCTCCTGCTTGCTGCTGAGCCTGAGCCTGGACTGTATCTTTCTGTGCCCTGGTGCTGACAAGCCAGCTCTGTGGTGGCCCCTTGGCTTCTCAGAGCCTCATGTCCACCAAGGCCACATGTTCCTAGAAGGCCTAGAAGGCCACATGTTCATACCAGGCCACATGGGGGGCGCTGCTGGCTCCCCCCACATATGCTAGTGGAGCAGCTCGGGCCTGGCTTATGGGGAAACTGAGGGCAAGGAGAAAAATCCCAGGAGGTGAAGTTGTAGCCTCTGGGCCTGCCAGGTTAAGCCAGGAGGGTCATACCAGGTGGAAACATATCTGCTAGTCTGCCGTGACCAGTCAGGCGCATTCACGCTACAATGTCTTGCACATTGCAAGTGGGTAGACTCATGTTTTAATGTAGCGTAAGAGTTTGGGCAGATTTCTGAAACTTCAAGTCTCAGTTTCCTGGGCATCCCCACAGGCAGGAAGACTGGCAGGAACTTGCTTGTAGGGTCATGAAAAGCACACAATGAGGATGTCTGCAGAAATCTGTGCAGGTTGTGGAACCGTGGCACACCACACCTAAGAGGAGAGGCCGAGCCTTGTTCTGCCTGGTCAGGCCCATAGCAGCCAGAGTGAAGCCAGGACGTGGTGGGAAGTCAGAAGGAAACTATTATTCGTTACCTTTCTAGAATCATAAATAAAAACAAAATGTTAGTCTTTCCTCAGAGGAACATGCGTTCTTTGTAGCCATTAATTACTTCCTGAAATGCCTTCAGGAGTTTGGCAATTGGCAGCTGACAGGTGAGAAGGAGAAGGATGCAGGGGCTTTGTGACAGGTGGGGGACTGTCCCCAGTGCACACCGATCTCCTGCCTTTGCTGCAGAGGCTGGCAGGGCCAGGCTCAGTGCTGGGTTTGTGCTGTTTGTCCTAACAGGTTGGTTTCAGGCAGGGAGGAGGCATAAGGATCACTCAGTGGTTTGGGGACAGTTGCTGACAGGCTGGTCATGCTCTCTGTCCTGAGGTATGCCAGGCATCTCCATGTCAGCCTTGACTAACTACTGGTCACTGACCGACTTCAGCCAGAGTGGTTTGTGGCAGTGCCCACAGCATCAGGACGTGACTTTGCCATAGCTCTGCGGGCACAACCCCCAACCTTTTCTGGCTCTGGCAGGAATGAACCCCTGGGTGTGTGGGGGGCAGATGTGTCTGGAGACTCCTATGAACGTGTGGACTGTAGGAAGGAAACATTTCCTCTGAGAACAGGAGCCCACTGTTGCACCTCAAAGGTCACGTGGGTCCTATGCTGTGGTAGAGGGACAGACAAGACCTACCTTGATTTCTGCAGTGGCTGAGGGGATCAGCCTTCTAGAATAGTCTGTCTGGAGCCTAGCCTCCTCTTCAGGGCTGCCTGAGGCATCTCTCTGCCTCTCTGGTCAAGGAAGTTAATTCATGATGATGGCAGAGCTCCCAAGAGCTTACTTCTTTGCAAGAGCTTTCTGCTCTGTTTTCGGAAATGTCCACCACTGTAACACGAGGGCACATACAGGTCACCTCTTGGCAGAGGTGGCTTCATGGATCACAGAACCATGCTGACCTTGCTGTGCTGTCTTGGAGTCTGTGTCTTATAAGGGAAATCAATGGGAGCCTTAGTTCTCAGGGTCCTGTCTACTGCCATCAGGGGGCTTCCACGCACGGGTCATTGACCCTGCCATGCTCTGTACCTACTGAGACCTGGACATACATGAATACACCCATGACATAGCAAAGAAGAGTGTGATGACAGTTCTCAGCTATCCTCAGTCAGGATCCTCACGCATCCTGGCTGTGGTGGTGCAATGCTCTTGGGGTCACCATCCTTCTTGGCTGGGGGAAGCCTGTCCCAGGGAAGCAGACATACCTCACTAGACCCCAGCTATGTCTCCGTACATTGTTTCAGCTGCTGCCTAAGGGACGTCTATCTGTCCCTGTATACCCAACCTGTGAGTACTCTCACACCCAAAAGAAAGCAACAACATACGCAGCAAACAGAAAACCCCACAACACGAGAAAAGAAATGCAGCCAGAGAAAGCACTGTTGACAGTTTCCTGTGTACTATGCCCCCACCATGAGCATATTTCCCCCAGTCTTGGCACAAGGGCCCCTGCTTTCATTTTGCACTGAGCCCCTCAAAGAAGGTAGCCAGACACACTTGTTGGCCCCTTAATAAAATCCTGAGGTCTTTGCTTGACCCCCAAGGCAGTAGTTTTCTGAGGAGACACTTACCCACGCTCTCTGCTTCCTCCACAGGTATCCTGTTAGCTGTGTGCCAGGCTCTGGAGAACAGCACATCCCCCCTGAGTGGTGAGTCCGTCCTCCCTGGGTGTGGATGGGGTATGGGTCCAGCCTCACATCTGGAAAGCTTCCTCCCGGGGACACTGGCCTGTCCTCGAACCGTCTCATTTCCTCTGGGCAGGCAGAGAAGAAAATACTGGAAAGCCTTCACTATGGCCCAAGAGGACTGTGCATGTTTCCCTCAGGGGCGGCCCATTCAGAGTCCTTCACCTGTTTAGATAACCAATGTGGAAGGTAAAATGGGGCCTGCTGAGCTTGATGCTGTCCATACTTTACCAATCATGTGATGATTAGATTTCCAAAGCTCCTGTCCATTTGTGCCCAGTGACCTGTGACCTTTGCTTAGTTATTCTCACCCCAACACCCCCTTTTCTGCCCTCTCTCAATACTTCTGAGTGCTGGGAGACAAAGCCCTCACTGACTCTGTGTCTCAGGAAAACCCCTCCTGTTTCATAGGTTCCTAGCTAGTGTTTGCACATGGTAATGGTTGTCTTAATAATTTTGATTCCTGCTTTTCTGTGTGTTGGGACAGGGTGTGTACATGCACTCAGGTACGCATGTTTGTGTGACAGGCACTTACCCACTAAGCCATCTGGCAAGTACCAGATGCCATTGCAACACTTACAGCCTGGGCTTGAGGGAACTTAGACATGAATCCAGGCAGGAGTCACCACTTGTTCTGGTACCTGATGGAAGTACCTCCAGGCAGCTCTGGGAGCTGAGACTCTGGCTGAGTGACCCTGCTGTGCCTTGCACCCTTCGAAATTAAACTGTGCACGTGAAACATGCAGGCTTCGGGGCTGGGTCAGCCGGTGGAATGGAGACCGGCTAGCTACTGAGTCACTCTTGAGACAAGTTGGAATGGTGGCAAATCCTGATGTCACTCTCAGTGGGAAGGATGCCCTTGACTATGTTACCCCTTCAAGTCTATTCATACAGAGTCTGGCGATATCCTGCTTTGGTCTGCTCCCTCAAGGCCCTGGAGTGGCTCCTGCTGAGCCTCCTTGGAGTACTGTAGGCTCTCTTGGCAGACCTGATCCCTCAGCCAGAAAATCACAGGCCCTACCCCATCTGAAGCCCCAGTTCCCCCTTTCCCTTCTGGATTTCCTCCTAAGGGAATGTGCCCAACATCAGCAAGTGTTTAGAATGGACCCTTCTCACACAGAGGCCCCCAAATCAAGTCTGTCCCCTGCTATGCCCCCTGGACTCTGCAATGACTGAGCACCTGTTGAGGCTCCGGATGGCAGCCCAGAACAGAGGCACACTGCACTGTACAGAAGACCCCAAAGTCATTTCCCCTCTGGGGACAAGGGAGGTGGCTGCTTGTCTGAACTCTGGCTGCTCTTGGTAGGGTGAATGACTAGATATGGGACCAGCTCTCTTTGGTTTTGCACACTCTAGAATCTGAGTCCTAGGACTCAGGGGGAGGGGCCAGGAGTTAAGTTCAAACAGTGGTGACAGTGTCATGGTCAACTCTCCAAAGGCCAAGGCTGGGTGACTAAGTAAGGCTTGCCAGCCTTACTTTCTCTTCCTTTAGGTGACCTTACCTATAGGACTGCTCAGTCTATTCCGCCCCTTTCTGCCACCCCCAGGCCTGAAATCCTGGGGCGGGGGCAGCTCAAATGTGCCTGTGGAGACAGGCAACAGCTTTGGATGTCACCCCTGGAAACACAGTCCATCCTTTAGAGATAGGGTCTCTTAATGTTTCGAAGCACACTGATTAGGGTAGACTGGTTGGCCAGCAAGCCCCAGGAATCCTCCTGCCTCTGTCTCCAAGCACTTGATTAAAAGCACTTAACAACATCCTTCTTCTTAACATGGGTTCCAGGGCTTGAACTCAGATCCTCATGCTTGGACAGCAGGCACTTTACTGACTGAGCCATCTTCCCAGCCCTCAGTATTAATTTGTGATTATTTTGGTGTTTTCTTATGTTGCCCAATAAGTATAAATTTTTTCAGATGAATTCTGTTTTGGAAAATTTATTCATTTGTATCCTGAACTCTTCCCCCCTCCCTGAGTATTGATGGGCTTCTAAACTAAATTCCAGAAGCATCCATTAGGGCTAGGATGAGGAATTTCAGGACAGTAGCAAATGCGCACAGCTGTCCACTTTGTTGATCAGAACTAGAAGCCAATGATCTACATTTGGTTTAATACATTACTGAGTGACAATGGTGCCACAAGGCCCTCTGCAGACCTAGGGTAAAACTCCAGCATTACAGAGCATTGCAGAGAGAAAATTGCAGGCTCCGTGTACCCATCAAGGGTGGGATCCCAGCTCAGAAAAACACAGGGTTTGTTCCTTTTTTTTTGGATTGGGGGCCATGCCATTAGAGCAGGCAGGCAGTTGCCCTTGGCCATTCTTGGTAAGATCTTATTTTGTTTCGTTCTCTTAGATCCCCAAATATGGAGGGTGGAGGGTGCCAGAGGTGTGGGAAACGGGTTGCATCAGTAAAGGCTTCTCAGGCATTTACTTTGGGTGGAACAGTGGAGAACATGGGCCTCAGGGAGGAGACCAGAATCCTGCGGTGGGGCCTGCTTGATTTCAGACTTTCCAAGTTCCTAAGCAGGTTAGTCCTCAAGTATCTGCTTAGATTGGTTTCCTCATCTGTGGGACCGAGCAAGCGATGGCCTGAGAATCTCCACATGGCTGTCCTGATGGTCAAGGAGAGGCCTTGGAGCCTGGTAGGGATTCTGAGAATGCCTTCAGGTTTTTAGGGAGCATTGCAGTCAGTGATCACTTGCAGATGCCTGCACTAAGTTGAGCAGTGAGTGATGGTGTGACTGTCATGCAGAGTTGGCCCTCCATATCTACAGGTTTTGCATCTTAGAAGTCAAATGGCAAGCATACTAAATATGTATAGACTTTGCTTCCTCAAGATGTTTACAACAACAATATGGCAACGTTTATACATTGTTTTGCATATTATAGTAATGCAGAGGTCATTTAAAATATGTGGGAGGAGCTAGGGAAATGACTTTGTGGAATTGTGAGGATCAGAGTTCAGATCCTCAGAACCCATATATAAAAGGGACAGGCATGGTAGTTCCCTTTATTCCCAGCACTTAAGAGGGGAAGATGGCCGATTCCTGGGGCAAGTTGGCTAGCTAGACTAACTGAAAGATCTTGCCTCAATAAATACAGTGAAGAACAATCACACACACACACACACACACACACACACACACACACACCACACACTCACACATTAAAAAAATGTGTGGGACTATGTGTGTAGCTTCAGGGTATAGCCTACACTATTTCCTGTAAGGACTTGAGCATCTTTGGGTTTCAGTATGGACTGGTCCTTCTCTGCTGGATACAGAGGGACAGCTGCATTTGATTCTCTTGGGATGTTGCATCTCAAGGATGCTCTTGTATCTTGAGGTCTCGAGCCTCTAGTTGCTAAAATCCTACAAAGAATTGGACATCTCTGCCTGGCTCTTCAGGAGCCTACATGACAGGTGACAACATAGTCTGTGAACCTTTCTTGGGCATGTCACTGGCTGCTCTGTGTTCCGTTTCAACCATAGACTGCCTCAGGAGTGAAATCAATGCTCTGACGTTTGGAGCATAAACTTTAATCCTTGTTGGGTATCTGTTTATAAAGCTCAAAAGGAAACATCAGCTGGAGGCAGGTGAGGGCGTCGGCCCCCACAGCTTAGAACCCCGGCTACACCCTCCTCAGGACCTATATTCAAAAGGCACTCTTGGATGCCCCCTTTAAAAGGGACAGAATGCACCCAGTCACGAAGCTGTTGGGCAGCCCTCTGCCTCACCCTCAGCTGCACATTCCCAGGCCGCTCATCTGGTTCTTTTCTCATGAAACTCACCGTAGTGACCACGAAGGTGTGGTGAGGGCCCCTCTGGGTCCCTGGGAGTCAGGCCCCTGCCGCTGGCATGTTCCTCAGAGTGGCTCTCTCCACCTCGGACTCCTCCTCGGCCAGTGTCTATGGACACCCGCCTGACCTCGTGTGTTTGAGGGCTTGTTTAATCTAGTATCTGGAAGGCTGTTCAAAAGTGATGAACACAGAAACTTCACTGTGGAGTTCTTTGTAGGGTATGTCACCACTCTCGCTTGCTTGGGGAGATAGTGGCCAGGTCAGACATTACTAGGGACTGTAGACTCCAATTTGTTGAGATGAGAGCTGTGGCTGGGCTGGACAGGAGGGCAGGGCGGATTAGAGGGGAAAGCCTTTGAAGACTTTTCTTGTTTACAAAGCAGGCGGAACGTGGGCCAGCCAGCCAGCCAGGACTCTCCTCATGGCTCACCTCCTTTAACAAAAGCTTCTCAGAACTTCAAACTGCTTCCCCGTTCCATTGTCTATGGTTTTCCCACGTGTGAAGCTGAAGTCATTCTAAAATTAGAAGGCTCACGTGTTTGACCCAGGTACCTGGTTCACCTGTTTCAAATCAGTGTCTCTCGCACAAGAGGCTTGCTATGCCACGGTTTGGGATAAAACCGCACACACCTGTGCGTGGTTGCCTAGTGCTTGCGTAGAGGAGCCGAGGGGCTGGAATGAGCGCCTTCCTGCCTTCCAGGGTGTGTCCCTGTTATCATCCATTTCCTCATTTTATCTGCTACTTGTGTGTATGTGTGTGGCGTGCATGCCTGTACAGGTGTGTATGTACTTGTGTACTTGTACACATTGAAACTAAAGACTAACTGACATGCGTTGTCTTCCTCAATTGTTTGCCACCTTATTTTTTTTTTAACGTTTTCTCTTAATTTTCGGGTATGTGCCTGCCTGTGTGTGCATGGTTTGCAGAAGCCAAAAGAGGTGTCAATCCCCTGGAACTGGAGTTACAGGTGATTGTGAAGCCACCATATGGGTGCTGGAAACTGAACCCTGACTTTAACCCCCAGTCCTCTACAAGACTGTAAGCAACTTTAAGTGCTGAGCCATCCACCTTATTTTTGAGACAAAATCTCTCACTGAGCCAAGAGCTTGCTTATATGGCTAGGCTGGCTGGCTGGCCAGCAAGCACTGGGGATCTTCCTGTCCCTGCATCCCAGGATTGCAGATTTGTGCCTCTGTGCCTGACTTTTTGACTGGGTGCTGAGGATCGGAACTCAGTTCACCAGGCTTCCACAGCAAGCGCTTTCCCAGTTGAGTCATCTCCTGGTGGCCCCTACCTGCTACTGTTTGCAAAGCAAATCATGCTGTATCTGTTGCTTTTCAAATGGAGGCTTCTCTG